TTTGTACAGAGCTTGGGAAAAAGGTTCTTGGAGTTTGGGGTTATTAATCAGACAGGGAAATGAGTGTCTGACAATGGAGAAATACAGAATTTGTTACAGGGAAACAGAGGCATTGGAATCCGAAAAGTTTGTGATGGGTGGGCCTACAGAGTCACCATCATCAGATCAAACCTAGCAGCTTGAAGGTGGGATTTCTCCCTTTTGCAGTGGCCTGAGATGTCAACAATGACATTTTCTTTTCAGGCCAGTTCAAGCCAAGAGGTAGACAAGAGAATCAGAAGAGTTCTTCATGGTATAAGAATTAGGAAGATGGTGAAAGAGGGAAAAAGGAATGGAGAGGATCTTCGTTAGTCTTCTTGATCCCATGTCTTGGCAGAAGCAGTTTGTGTCAATGTCAGCTCTACTTCTTTTCCTAGTTCATTTGATTTTGAATTCTCCAGCATCTGTAAAGGACCACATGTCACATTGAGCCTTGTTTAGTTGTGAGATAGGTACACAAAATTCAATCCCTGGTAACTGCCAGTAGAGTTAGAAGTCAGGAGTATTCAGTAGGGCTCTTACCATGAATCTCATTTTTGCAGATGCTTTAGTGTAAAATAATAGTGGTCTATCAATGACAACAACTTTAAAATGCCACTATTAAAGATATGATGAGAACTCATTATAATGAGTTGGTTATTTTTGAGACATACAACGTTTTAAGATAATTTCAGGAATTTTTATTATCCTAGAACATAGCTATCAGGCTTTTAGGAATTTTATACAATTTCTAGGGCACTTAAAAAAAAAAGTTTATTGATGCATACATAGCTGGGGTACAGGCCAGATGTGCATGGGTGGTGAGAGGCTTCACCAGAGACAGAGTGGGGAGCAGAACAAGCAGATTGATGGAAGTACACTGCTGAGGGGAGCAGCAGGCTAGACAGGAGAGGTCTGCTGTGCCATGTGGATCACCTCCAGGGCCCGGATTGAGCTCACACTTAAGTGGCTTGCAGCCATCTTGCAGGGTTGCATCCTAACCCATTGGGCCATCAGGGAAGACCCCTTCTAGGGCACTTACAATAATAATATTTACCCATGTAAATATAATGTAAGTATTCATATTTGACAATACTTGCCATGTAACATTGCATACTGAATAAAACTAATTTTTTTTTAAGATTTATTTATTTTGTGCATACAGAACTGGGGTATAGGCCAGAGGCTCAGGGGTGGCGAAAGCCTTCACCAGAGACAGAGTGGGCAGCAGAACAGGCAGACAGACGAAATACACTGCTGAGGGGAGCAGCAGGTGGGTCAGGAGAGGTCTGCCACGCCATGTGGTCACCTCTGGGACACACAGGAATCGAACTCATGCGGAAGTGGCTTTAGCTTCTTAGTGCTGTGCTTTAACCCGCTGCACTACCAGGAAGGGCCCAAAACTAACTCACTTAACAGCTCTTAAGTTGACTCCAACAGATAAGGACTGCAAATGAGGTCTAATTTGGAGTACTTAGGGTATTGAATTCTTTTGGTCTTCTGTTATTGACATATTAGTCATACAGGCACACATATCAGAAGGGTAGTAATTTGATACCATTAGAGTTGTGTGACATCAAGTAAAAATATTTTGAAGCCAGTACACACAGTTTACATTCACTGATTTTTTTTCCTATCATACATATACATAATTATAGAAAATATAAATTTTAAAAAGCATGAAGTTGTTAACATTATTTTTTAGTTGTTAACATTTTTAAGATCTAAATGTCCCAACACTTAAATGTGATATGTGTATTTTTTTAAATAAAAATTAGTGGCACTGCTTTTTAAAACTAAAATTGTAGTCATCTTTATTTTGATGGTACATCATACATAATAGTTGTATTGTATGCATGTGTTATGACTATTATTCAATCCCTTATTAGACATTTAAATTATTGTTCATTTCAGTGTCATAATCAATGCTCTGAAAGTCTTATAAATAATTGTTTACACTCATCTTTGTTTTCTTCCCTGTGAAGTGGAAGTGTTAAAGTATAGGAATCATTTTGAAGCCTTTGGTACCTGTGTAAAATCTTCTTCCAGATAGATATCATACTTTACCTGTAATGTGTGTATGGAATTCTTGGTGTTGTTTTTAATATAAGCAGAAGAAAAAATTATCTGCCTATGCCAGAGGCAGAATACTAGGTGAACCCAATGATGTACCAAATACCAATGATTAGGAAGGGATCACAAGTCTATAACATAATTGTCTGTGAAAATGTCATAACATTTGCACCAGCCATCATTTTTCCCTCAACTTTACAGAGATAAATTGACAAATAAACTTGTAATACAGTCAACATGTACAACCTGATGAAATAATCCCTACAGTCAAATTTAACACATTGCATCTCTCACACCTTTTTTGTTTTTTGATGAGAGCATTTAAGATTTACTTCCTCATCATATTTAAGTGTACAATACAGTATAGTTAACTATAGCTACCACACTAGAGTCCCACAACTTACTCATAACTAAAAGTCTGTTTCCTTTACCAGCCTCTCCCTATCTCCCTATCCCCAAGTCTCTGGTAACCACCACTCTACTCTGTTTCTATGAGTTGGACTTTTTTCTATATTTCACTTGTGAGATCTTACAGTATTTTCCATTCTGTGCCTGACTTATTTCACTTAGTGTAATGGTTAGGTTCATCTATGCGCTTGCACATGAAGGATATTTTTTCTCTTCTTTATTTTTTTATATAATAGTTTATTTTTACATCATTTTGTACATTTTTTCATCTTATTTTTTTTCTTTTTTATGGCTGAATAACATTCCATTACAGGTACCACATTTTCTGTATCCATTCACCCATGGATGGTTACTTAGATGGTTTTTATATCTTTAACTACTATGAATATCTTTCCGTCAACATGGGAGTACAGCAGATACTTCTTCCAAGATAGTGCTTTGTTTCCTTTAGATATATGCGCAGGAATGAGATGTGCAATCATTTGGTATGAACTACTGATTGAAAAACACAGGAACTTTTTTTATTATTATTATTTTATAAGAGTTTATTTTTACATCATTTTGTACATTTTTTTTCCATCTCAATTGTAATCCCCACGGGTTTCCCATCACCATGTCACCTGTGTGCTATCACCATAATCCCGTGCACTTCCCTCCCCATCCCCCTGTTTTTGATCCCATTCCCCACTCCACCCCCGCAAAATATCTCTGGTAAATGGTTGTTCATTATTTTTGTTATTTTCTTGCCTGGTCCACTATACTCCTGTTATGAGCGAGAAACCATCTGGTATTTTTCTTTCTCTTTCTGGCTTATCTCACTAAGCATGATCTTTTCCAGCTCCATCCAAGTTGCTGCAAAAGACATGTGTTTCTCTTTTTTGGTTGCTGAGTAATATTCCATTGTATATATGTACCACATCTTTTTAACCCAGTCATCTACTTTTGGGCATTTGGGCTGCTTCCATGTTTTCCCAATTGTAAATAAAGCAGTAATAAACATGGGGGTGCAGGTATCTTTTTCAATCAGTGTTTTTGTATCTTTTGGGTAGATACCTAAGAGTGGTATTGCTGGGTCGTAGGGAAGCTCCATGTTTAGCAGTTTGAGGAACCTCCAAACAGTTTTCCATAGTGGTTGTACTAGTTTGCATTCCCACCAGCAGAGCAGGAGAGTTCCTTTTTCTCCACATCCTCGCCAACATTTGTTGTTGCTCGTTGTTTGAAGATGTGCCATTCTCACTGGGGTGAGGTGGTATCTCATTGTGGTTTTAATTTACATCTCCCTTATTACGAGTGATGTTGAACATTTTTTCATATGTTTGTTGGCCATCTGCATTTCCTCTTTGGAGAAGTGTCCTTTTAGCTCTTCTGCCCATTTTTTGATGGGGTTGTTTATTTTTGTTGAGTTTCATCAATTCTCTGTATATTTTTGTGATCAGTCCTTTGTCACTACTTTTGTGTGAGAAAATGTTTTCCCAATTAGTGGGAAACACAGGAACTTTTTTTTAACAAATAGGAACCATTGTGAAGACTAGGAGGGTACAAGTATAAATAGTTTAGTCTAAAGTAATGATTCTCAGGCTTCTGTATGTATTGAAATCATATTGCTGAGCATCCAGATTTGTGGATCTATGTGGAGACCGCATTAAGAAATACTAAGTTAATTGTAGTTTTTCAAACCCAAGACAGTAGAGCAATATATAATCTCATACCTGACAGCTAGCCTGTTTCGCAGAACAAATGCTGTACCTGAGACTAAGAAAATAAAGTGATTATTTAAATCAGTGTTAAATAGCAACCACAATAACAATACTCATTGTTTTTCATTTTAAGTAAAATATGGGTTGTAGTTTAGATAATTTCAATTGACTTCTTAATCTACTTCCTCCCATTTCTTTTCATAATAGCTAATTTACATTGTTTTAATTATAATCTTTATTAGCTAATCATGTGCTTTATTCTGGTATTTCTGTGTCTGAGATGATTGCTTATGGCTGTATACCATAACCCCAAACACAATCATCAGCCTAGTGAAAGCTTCAGAATCACAGGGGGAAATCTATGGGACCTAACCTAAAAACCCAGCTGAATTAATTATAGCAATTAACTAAGTAAGCTAGATTAAGAGGGGCCAGTCATGGCATAGAATGTAAGATTAAAGATGTTATAGGATATAAGAAGTTTTTAAAAAGTCAAATTCCTATTAAAGTGAGTCCTGTGTGCGGTTTATTTCAGGAATTTGTCTAAATGGTATAATAACCCAGTTTCTTAAGACCAGAAATTGGTTAGGTGATTTATAGTGGTTCCTATCAGTTCATATTTCATATTTGTTACTATTGGGCCTTAGCTTGAAACCACATGTAGAAGTTGACTCTTCCTATAATAGATACTGCTGCTTTAGACATGATTTTTTGGTTGTCTGAATATTAACTTTCATCAGTTCCTTTCCTATTTCTGTATAACTATAGCCTATCAGTTATTTGCCATCTATTTTTAATATCTAGGAGGAAGTGGTGAAGTTGACTGAGAAATGCCTTAATAATGTTATTGAGAGCCCAGGATTGAATGCCAGGAGAGTTCCTCCTGACTTGAAGAGTAATATTTTGAAGGCTCAAGTAGAAGCAGTGCATAAGGTAAGCTGCATTTAATAGAGATAGTCCTGGTGAAGTAAAAAACTGAGTACTTTAAAAATATCGTTCATATTTTTATTCACTCTCTTTTTCTCATCAACATAAACATAAAATGTAGTGTTTGAATATAAGAATAAATACAAAATGTGGCACTACTGACTCCAGAATTAGCTTGAATTCAAATTCCACTTCTATTTCCCACCTATTAGCTTCAATTCTTGAAAAGTTAATTTATTTGAGGCTCAGTTTCATTATGTCTTAAGTAGGATAATGGTGGGTTATAAGGATGAAAGAAGATAATAAATGTAAAGGACATGGAATAGTACCTGGCACATATTGAACATAAGTGTTGAGCCTGGTGTTGAGACTGCATGAGATAGTAGCAGTAGTAGTAATATTTGTCATTATTTTACATTTCAATTATAGGTTGGCTGTTACTGATTTTGGAGTAAGAAAAAGCTGAATAGCCCTATATTTTTGCTTTATTGTTTAAAAATCTCCCCCAAGATGAAAAATCTAGGACTGATGAATCTTAAGGAAATTAGAGGCAGTTATACATTCTCAGACAGTAGAGGAGGAGGGAGCAACTTATTTTGTGAGACTCATATTAACCACCATACCCTAACCAAACAAAAATATTACAAGAAAAGAAATTACAGACCTTCTCAAACATAGACTTAAAATTCTGTAACAAAAGATAAGCAGATCATACTCACCTATTCAGTAAGAATATAAAATGTTGTAAGCTCTTTAGAAAAGAGTTTGGCATGGTAGTAAACAGACTTACCATGTGAGTCTAACAGTTACACTTTTAGATCTTCATCAAGGAAAAATAAAAACTTTTGTTTACACAGGTAATAGTATGAGGGCAGCTTTCTTTGTAATAGCTAAAGAAACTGAAACCAAACCAACTATTAGTAAGTAAACAGAACAATCATGGTATATCCCAAAGTAGAATGCTGTTCAGCACATAAAAAGGGATGAATTAGTAATACATACAACACCATGAGTAAATTTCAGAAACATCATGTTACTCTAAAGAATCAAACCCAGAACATGGGTATTATAATTCCATCCACATGAGACTACACAGATCACTGTTTGCCATGTCTAAGGGTTTCTGATGGGGCTACATATTGAAAACTCGAGGGGCGTTTTGGGGAGATAGGAGAAATGTTGTATATGTTGATTATAGCGGTACTATATCTATTTTTTTAGACCACTCAGCCACACTACCACATGTGGTAGTATGTGTGTGTGTGTGTGTATGTATTTATTTATTTATTTTAATGTATTAAAATGTATTAATGTATTATATATATTAATGTATTAAACTGTAGATTAAAAATGTATGTAATTTATTCTGTGTAAATGATATTCAATATAAAATTGAAGGGAAAATGGACTGAAAGTTTTTTATGAGGTATTCCTTGGGGAAAATTAAAATCCAAATATACAGCTTCATCAATTTCTTCTTTTTATCATGTAAAGTTGGAATTTTCTGGCATTGACTTTTTCTGGTGCATTAAATAATTGAGAGCTGTTAGTAAAGCTTGTGAATTAGTGTTTAGACATTGAAATGAAAACATGAACTGTTAACTTGGGTACAGGGTTAGGACTGCTCTTGCTCTAGTGCTGATGTTTTCATGGATAAGGTATGATTACTACTTTTTTGAACTAAAACTGGTATTTCTATTTTAATGAAAAGAATTATAAATTTCTTGTTTTGTTATCCTCAACAAAAATTTAACTTTTTTTAATTTGATTTTCTTAGGTTACAAGAGAAGATAGTTTATTAAGTCATAAGAATGCCAATATTCAGGATGCTGTCACAAGCAGGTACATTCTAAGGAGATGGCATAAAGTCGATGCTTGTTCTTTCCATGGGTTTTTTTCCTTGTCCCTAATGTATTACTACTTCCTTTGAGGGTATCATTTGAAAAATAACTTGAATCCCCTCTTTTCTATATATTATGTAACTGCCTAGTGTTCACTTATTTGAAGATATTCCTTTTAGTGTAATTATATTCTGTTCTTCTTCAACTGACTCAAACTGCAAAGCAAAAACAACTTTTAAAATACTTTTAATCTTATAAAATGGGTATTATTTCTCTTAGATATGGTGGTTCACTTAAATGCCATCCTGTCGTCACTGGCCTTATTCTGATAAACCTACTTACTGTGGACTCTCAACATTACTTGAGCAAATTTCTTTGTTGTTCCTCTCGGTTCTTTCTGCTTCTCTTTTCTTTAATGACTATTATGCTATTTATTTGTCTGGCAAAGCTTTTATCCCCTGCTCTGTACCATTCATCACTGTATACAGTATTCTTCCCTTGGTTTTAAAACTTAATGAGTGAATGTCTTTCTTTTCTCATCATTCAAAACTTAATGTAGAGTCTTCTGATTAATCTTACTTAATTACAGACACTAAAACCTTATAGCATTTAAGCATATAGCATGGTTTGTATATAGGACTTTACAGTTAATGTTCATCAAGCTTACTAATTGGTCATCAGGGTAAACAAAACTGGAATTACAATTTAACTTTTTAATTCTAATAAATCAGTTGGCCCAATAATAGCATTTTTAATGCTATTATTCTTAAAATAATCTTATCAAAAATTACTTATTTAGTTTTACAAAGAGATGAGTTTTAAGACTGCCAAGTTGTTCATTAGAACTTATATTGAGGTATTGATGTTAGAAAGAGCCTAGAATATATACCATCTTACTTCCAGATTTCTTTTTCTAGATGGCTATTGATACTTTTAATGTCTGTTTTCCCCCAAAGACTTGAAACATATCCTTTAAGATATGCTGAGTTCTGGTGTAAATTTGAATCTACTTCTAGATATTTTCTTTTTCTGTTAATCTGTTGTTTTTCCCCATACTGTGCCATATTACTGCTATATGCCCTTTGTAGAAAAGGAAAATTACAAATACTGAGTAAACTATGTAAATTACATAATACATGTTTGTGTACAAGTTAAATCAGTCTTTATCTTCATTTTGCTATGGTAAATTTAGGCCATCTTTCTTTTTTTATTAATTTTAATTCCCATACCATAAAATCTATTATTTAAAAGTGTGTAATTCAGTGATTTTTGATACATTGACAAAATTTTGTAACCATTACCACTAATAAATCTATAATACTATCATTAACCCTAAAAGAAACACCAGTCTATTTGCAGTCATTCCACTTTCCTGTCTTCTTCCTTCTGATGGCTCGATATTCATGCACCTAGTAACCATTAGTCCATTATCTGCTTCTTTTTGATTTAGCTTTTTAAAATTATTTTTTATTTTATATCTGTTTTACATCATAGATACAATGTATGTGTGCTTTCTCCTCTCAGGTATAGTCTCCATAAAACTCCCTCCACCAGTTCACCCCTGTACCATAGTGTCGTGTGCTCTTCCTTCTGCCGATGTTTCACGCCTTCTCCCTCCTCCTTCCCTGAAGAATGTATCTGATTTATATAAATGTTGCCCATTAATTTTTTTCGCGATTAAATATGACACTTAATTTTGTTTTTTAACTTATTATAATCATTTAAAAAATTTAAGTGTTCCATTTAAATAAGGTTATTGTTATCATGAGCACAAGTGTAGCTAGTAGAGCTAATACTGGTTACTCCATTGGTAGCTTTTGAATTAGATTTTATAGGACTATAAGAATTAAAAGTATATGTAAACAAGCATGTTTTATTACTTCACTCAGACTTGAATTCTAGATGACTGTTTCTCTCCTATTAAATGTTATAATGTGTTATCCTTATTTGAAAAAAATAATTCTTAATCAAAATGATACTGCCCATAGTTTTGAAAGTCAAATAGAAGAGTACTGATAACAAAAAATATTCCCTACCCACACACACATCCTTACTTCTCTATCCTCTCTTTTCAAGTGAACCAATTTAGATCCTATTTGCTGTTTCTTCTGTGATTTACTTAACTCCATAATTCTAAATCATACATGTGTAAAGGAGCTTATTAACAATTTCAGATATGAACTGTTTCTTAGTTAAGGAGAAAGACTTAACTCTCACATCTCTGTTTCTTCTTTCCATATTATTAAATTTAAAAAATTTTTGTCTTTTTTTCATTCATCCTCTCTTCTGCCTCTTTTGAATTTATATATATTATAAATTATATAAATTACATAAATTTATATATATGTATACTATGTATATTATATATATATATATATATACACACACATACTCTGGACAGCTCATAAAATGAAGTCACTCAATAATGTTACCTTTTGTGTCTATCAAGATATCCTGAAAAGTTTCTGAACTGGTATGCTTTCTTGACTCTAAAGTCATGGTTTTTTTATATTTAAAGATAATCTTTTCTGTTGTTTCACTGAGATTTAGGAGATAGGGAACGTAGTCTGTCATTCTAATCCATCTGTGAATGTGTGTGACGTAGATGTAAAAACTGTTGCATGGGAGTGAGGCAGGGTTTCCAGAGGCATGTATACAACACTGACTGCTGTTATACACCCTATAAGTTGTAATTTCTCTTCCCCACCATGAATCTATGCCTGTATAGTTTCTCCATGACATGAATTTGTCATTTTCTTTTAGTGTTGTATCAAATGAGAATAATGTGCCACTTCCTGAAGATTGTCTTGCTCTGATACATACACCTGTGGGAAATGGCTCTGTTCTAAAGGTTAGAATACATTTTTTTTAAAAAGTTTCTTCAAAGATAATTCTGAGTTAAATCCTGTAATATCATCAAGGATGTATTTGATCCACACCAGAACTTAAGGACCAATAAAAACATTGAAGCTCCGTATTATAGGGAGATTCTTAGTATTGTATCCCTCCAATTTTTGTGTTGTTTGTATTTTTGTGCCCGTTGCCTTTGGAAACATAACAATGCTTCCCTAGTGTCTCAAACAGTATATGTCATATAGTAGACAATAAATAAATATTGATGGAAGTAAATTTTCTGTAGCAACAGCACACTATTGTTAAAAGTATATTACAGTATAACCAGCTTATCCCAACTCCTGCCTTTCTTGTAACCATTTGCACATCTTTACCAGCTCAGAAATCATAGAAATACACCACTACGGCAATAAATATTTTAATTTGCAAGTTGAGTATAATCTATGCTTGCAAATTAACATTAGCCATTTTGGTGTTTTATTGCATAAGTGAATCTATTGTAGAAATTTGGCAAATATTTAATTAAAGAAATAAAATCACTGGTATTCCCATTACTCAAAGGTAGTATGTAATTAACAGTAAGGTGTATAATTTTTTAGACTTATGTGTTTTAAAAAAAAAATCCAAAACAAGATTCCTACAACTAGGACTATCCTTTCTTCAAATTAAAATTCAAGAAAGGATAAATACACACACACGATACACATACTTTGACATCTTTGACCATGACCTGAGATGTTTTTGGAACAAAGAACATTTAATTCAAAGATTTATTGCATATGTAATATGTACCAGATAGCATGTTAGACTTGAAAATTCAAATATATGTATGAATTTATCATGGATTCTTCTTGCAAATTCCTTGTAGTTATTAGGAGAGAGAATTGTAATGCATTGTTGTAGGATATATGCACACGCTGTTGGGGCAACTCACCCAAGTCACAGGGTAGGAGCAGATGGAATTGGACAGAGATACATAGAGAACCTTTATTTCACATGTGTGATTAAAGTTAAGTTGAATATTGAAATGTAAGCAGGAGATTCACTGTGTCCTAAAGGCAGGTAGATGGAAATGCAATTTTTGGTTAAGTGCTAGACCACTGTATTTTTTCCAGGTTAGAATTTTATCTTTTTAAATTTGACCTTCCCTTCCAATACACACAACACACACAGAGCAATATAGATCTGTGTGCCCTGTAGAATACTTCAAGTGCTAATTAAATAAAAATGTTAATTAACATTTCTGAGTAGAAGTTCGTATTGTATTCCACAGTGAAGCACTCATACATCTAGAATTTGCATCTCCTGTGCTGAATCTTTTACCTCTCTCATGTAGCCTAGCAGCCAAGAGCCAGAACAGTCTTAATATTACCCAGATTTTGATTGATTAAAAGAATAACTACATGTAAATTCACAAAACACTTTAAAGTTATAGTTTGTGTTCCTTTGCATATGAAAGTCAGTCACTAATACAAAATTCCAGAACATCCTGTTTGTGTAAGGTTAACATCAGCCAGGCCTAGATCAGAATTATCAGTTGAGAGGATGTTGAAAAAACCATTGATGAAGACTGTGCCAGTTATGCAATATATTTACTGTGTCTTCCCTAGGAAGCTACAGATGAATTGGATGCCTTGCTTTTGTCTCTAACTGAGAATCTAATTGACCACACAGTTACACCTCAGGTAAATATGCTTAAAACAACAAGATGGAAACACATTTCTGTTTTGAAAAATGTCCTGTTAGCTTTCAGTTTTTGCCTCTAGCCAATTTAGTAAACGTTTTTCATTTAGTAAGAGTTTATAGCAATACCTTTCTGCACTACAATTCTACCAGTTTGAATTTATGTGTCTCTGTACATTAAACATGTATTACTGTAAATTTGTGATTCAATACCATACTAAACTGCGTAAGAGAAAGCATGTGAGAATAAGCCAGCTTCTAAAGCATTTAAACAATAAGGAAATATTTAATGTTAAAAAAAAATTACAAAAAGATGAGAGCATAAGAATGATTGATATTGAGCATATTGATCACTATAGCAGTACGAATTGTAATACAAATAAGAAAATAATGATTGACATTGAGCATATTGATCACTATAGCAGTATGAATCATAATACAAATAAGAAAATAATGATTGACACTGAGCATATTGATCACTACAGCAGTATACAACCATAATATAAATAAGAAATAGTTTCTTCTTCCAAGGGACATATAATCTATTTGGGAAGAGCAGTATCCAAATAATTCATTTAGTATGTTATGAGTACAGGAATTGCTGTAGAAACTATATGTCTAATTGCTTGGAAGTAGAGGTGGTACTCTTTATGGTAGTAGATGTTTGCTTAGATCTTTTGTTTTCAAATTTAGGGTGTATAGAACCCCCGGAGGGTATATTAAAACAAAGATTGCTGAGTTGATGTATGTGCAATGGACCTTGAGAAGTTGAATTTCTGAAATCTTTCAAGTGATGCAGATGTAGTCTGGGAAATACCCCTAAGGAACCAGCTGATTGGCTCAATAAACAGAGACTGCCCAAGGATAAAAGTCACCAGTATGGAAAAGTGAGCAGGCAAAAAACAAAAGGGACAGTGGCATTAGTGAGCTATAGTAATCATTTAAATAGACAAAAGAGATAACTTCAAAGATTAATGCAAGATGACTGAAGCCTGGAAAAGGAATTTGTACATTTACTTTTTTTTTTTTTTTTTTTACATCCTTCTTCATTTTGTGCCTTTTTCCATCTTGGTTGTAATCCCCATGGACTTCTCACAGCAATTCACCCATATGTCATCACCATAGTCCCGTGCACCTTTACCACCCCATTTTTTGATCCCATTCCCCATTTACTCTTTTTCTGCACCATGTGGGTCACCTTCCTGGCTGGGGATGGAACTGCAGTGGCTGCTGATTATTTGATAGTGCTGAGACTTAACCCCTTGTACCGCCAGGGAGGCCCTGTATATTAGCTGCTTATTAGATGTGTGATTTGCAAAAATTTCCTTGTGCTTCCTTGTGTTGTCTTTTATTTCACAGTTTTCATTGTATAGTTAGTTCTTTCACCACCTTTGTTAAGTTTATTCCTAGGCACTTAATTCTTTCTGTTACCTTGATTTCTTTCTTTTAGCTCATTGTTTGATATAGCAATACAACACTTTTTTTTTTTTTATTTTGTAGCCTGCCACTTTCCTGATTTATTGTTTCTTGTAGTTTGTTTTCAATGTATATTACAGTGTCTTCTGCAAACGGATAGTTTTACTTCTTTCCCAATTTGGAGTCACTTTATGTTTTTCTTACCTAATTGCTCAGCTAAGACTTCTAATACTATGTTGAGCAGTAGTGGTGACAAGAGCATCTTTGTATTGTATTTGTCATACATGATGTTTATTTTGTTGGAAATTCCTTCCATCCCCATATTTTAAGGGTTTTCTCAAACAGAGATATCTGAATTTTATATGCTTTCACTGCACTATTGATATGTTTATATGATTTTTGACTTTCCTTTTGCTGCCATGAATTACTTTATTTGAATTGTATATATTAAACCCACCTTTACATACCTGAAATAAATCCTATTTGATCATGGTGTATGAGTCTTTTAATGTTTTGTTGAAATTGGGCTGTAAAGATTTTATTGAATATTTTTGCATATGTTCATCATGGAAATTGGTCTGTAACTTTCCTTTTTAATGATGTCTTTGTCAGGTATTGGTATCAGAGTGATGTTGGCCTCATAGAATGTATTTGGAAGTATGCCCTCTTCAATTTTTGGGAAGTGTTTGAGAAGGGCAGATATTAGTTCATCTTTGAAGGTTTGGTAGAATTCACTGATGAAACCATCTGTTCTTGAACTTTTGCTTTTGTGAAACTTTTGATAACTGTTTCAATTTCCTTACTTATAATTGTTCTGTTAATATTTTCTATTTCTTCATGCTTCAGTCTCACAGAATTTGTCTGTTTTCTTCTAGATTTTCCAATTTGTTGGCATAAAGATGTTCACAGTAGTCTTTTATGATCAAGTGTGTGTCTATGATATCTGTTGTAACTTCTCTGTCATTTCTGTTACTTCTTTTAATTTAATACTTTTTACATCATTCTTCATTTTTGTACAATGTATACTTTTTCAAATCCCCATGGACTTTCCAGTTCACCATATTCCTGTGGGCTCTTTCCACCCCCTACTCCTTACTCCGACCCAGTAGAATGTCTCTGGTTGATAGGTGTTTGTTGGTTTTAATTTTTACTTCATTACAATTACATTTTTTTTTCCTGATCCCTTACTTTCCTGCTATGAGTGAACCATCCAGTATTTTTCTTTTTCTTTCTGACTTACTTCACTAAACATGATCTCTTCCATTTCGATCCATGTTGCCACAAATTACATGAGTTTATCTTTTTTGATTGCTGAGTAATATTCCATTATGTATATGTACCACATCTTCATGATATATTTCTGTTACTTTCTACTGGAGTTTTCTTTCTTTTTTTCTTAGTGAGTCTATCTAGAGCATTGTCTATTTTATCTTTGCATAGAATTAGCTCTTGGTTTCATCAATCTTTTGTACTGTCTGCTTGATTTGTTTCATTTGTTTCTACTCTAATTTTTATTTGTTCCTCCCTTCTCCTGGAGTTGGTTTGATTTGTGCTTTGTTTTCTAGTTCCTTCAGGTAGAAGATTAGGTTATCTATTTGAGATCTTTTGTGTTTCTTGGTGTGAGCCTATATATTCGGTTTACTGCCCTCTGGCTACTGCTTATGCTTCACTTCATCAATTCTGTAGCTTGGGTATTTTTGTTCATCTTGAAGTGCTTTTTAACTTTTGTTTGATTTACTCTTTAGTCTAAAAGTCTTTCAGTAACTTGTTGTTTAGTAACTTTGTAGTTGAGATTTTTTCTTCTTTTGTGGTTGATGCAACCAAGAAGACTATGATTATTTGCAATTAAGTGACATTTCAGGAAATAAAATGTTATAAAATGTTAAATGATACTGGGGTGGGGGGAAGTCCAACATAGTTTTAGCTTTCTTAGAGTAAGTAAAATTTTAGATTAAAGAGATTCCCAAGGTCATTATATATATATATGTACACACACACACACATACATACTCACATATATACATATATATTACATAAATATATTATAAAGAAAGTGTTCACACACATACACACACATATATATAGCATATATATTATTAAAAAGGATCTTGGACTCAGAAGTCCATGCCAGCTAAAATGGAACCAGTAAGAACTACCTCTTAGCACACAGTGCATTTAATATCAGAAGAAAATTTTGAGTATAATTATGAAAATAAGTCAGTATTCTCTAAAAATAAATGCATGTATTTATTTTAGATATCTTCAACATCCATGATTACACCCCGGTGGATTGTACCAGTAAGTTCACGATATTTGTATTTTTTCTTTTGCTCACCGTTGCAGAGTGAACCATCAGGTTCTTGTTTTTCCTTAGAAATGTGAAGTCACTATCAGAGTTTTGTTAACTGAACTTAATGGCTTCAAGCTAGTGATTTAATCTTTCTGTGTGTAAATGCTTAACAATCCAAACAGAAAATAAAAATCGTAGGTAAAGAATGGCAAAAAGTAAAACACAACAACCAACATCATCAAAATTAGTCTTTTATACTACCATGATGACCAGAGAATGATGATTTGGAGCTGAAGTGCTGAATGTCAGGCAGCTTTTGTCACTTTTACTTAGACGCGTTGTGTGTTCTCCTCAGCAGAGCAGTATCCTTTCCCATGAACTTGCAGGAAATGGATCATCCTTGACCGGGAAGGAAGGACACGGTAACAGCGAAGTCATCTCACTCATCTCTCCCCCAGCACCATTCTTGGTGGATGCTGTGACCAGGTTAGGAAATTATTTCTCAGTCATAGTTCTTAGGCATTCATTAGGAGGGAAAAAAATAATAGAATTCACTATGTTTAAAACAATAATATCAATTATTTAATTAACTTAATTGAAACTTGGATAAATCTTTTATATTTAGAAGTGTTTTTTTTTTTTAATTTTTGTAAATAGCAATTTTTTTTACAAAATTATGAGGTAGACCTTACTGGGTTTTATTAATGAGGTTTTCATTAGCTACTGGTGTTAACAGTCCTACCTTCAAATTTTTTTTCTTCAAATTCATTTGTATCTTTTCATATCATTTCATGCTTTAATATTACTATGTTATCCATCAATACAGGTGAAGAGGTGCAAATAAGGGTATAGAAGGAGATTTTTCAAAGTGAAAGCTTGGGACATAAAAACAAAGAAAGCTTTTACTGAAATCTGTTGCAAGTAAATTTCAAAATAATGCTTGCAACAGACAAACTCAAAAAGCCTTTGTTCAGCAAGTAGCTCTTTAACATGTTTTTAGGACCTAAACTGTATATTTTGCAAAAAAAAAAATTATAATTACTTTCATTCTCACCTCAGACTTTTTCCTGATTATATCTGCTGTTTCTCACCTCCCTCCCCTCTTGGAGGAAAAATTATAGGTGATCAACTTGTGAGAAATTTGTAGTTGAATATTTAAATTGTTCTTTTATCTCCATAGTTTTTAAAGTAATATGATTATGTGCTCAAAAACACTTGCTGAATGTCTGTTATGTACCAGGCATGTACTAGGCATTGATTATATCTGGCACTGAGGACAAGGGGACAAGACAACATGAATCTGCCATGAATCCGCAAATGTAGTTGACATTTGCGGATTAACACTCAGTACAGATTTAATAGGTTATTTTTCTAAAGGTTTGGCTACCAAATCTGAATTTTACTGTAGCCAATATAAAAAAAAGTTATTTGTAGAGGATCAGGTGATAAAGCTTTGTTACTGACTTTACTTAATAAAATACAAGCTCTTAAGGACTTCAAAATAAATTACAGATGGAGCACAAGCCTGTCTTTCACTCCTTCCCAAAGCCAATGCTAAGTAGTTATAAAGGATTTAGAGAGATCAAAAATGGTAAAGTAATCAGTGAAACAAGATAGACTCCAGAAACAAACCAGAAGATATACCTGATTAAAAAAAAAAAAAAAAAAAGCAAAAACATAATGGTATATAGTACTGTGGAGAAAGAAAGAAAGAAGAAAGAGTGGTCTTTCAGTAAATCAGGTGAACAAGTTAAATATTTGGGGAAAAAATCTTGACTCAGCTTCATGCCATACACAATAATCTAATCTAGATCAGTTGTAGCTCTAGCTATATAAAAAAAAAAACTTCAAATAATACGATTCTTAAACAATATTTATTTATGCATATAAAAACTGGCGCCTAGACCAGTGAGAGGTTTCACCAGATAGAGTGGAGAGCAGAACAGGCAAATCTACTGAAATACACTGCTGAGGGGAGCAGTGGGTGAGACAGGAGAGATGTGCTGCACCATGTGGGTCAGCTCCCTCTCTGGGGATCAAATTTGTGCTGTAGTGGCTGTGGATAGCTTCATAGTGCTAAGTCTTAGCTCCTTCTGCTACCAGGAAGGCCCCAAATAATAGCGTTTTTAAAAGAAAATATAGACAAACATCATTGTGATCTTGGAAAGGCAAATTTTTTTTTGAACAGGCTATAAAATAATCATACAGGAAAAATGGATAACTTGAATTGTTTCAAGAATGTCTATTAATCAAGAGATAAAATTTCAAGAGCATGAAAAGGAAAGCCAGAGTGGGAGAAAACACTGTCACTTTTTCCCATCCTGCCTGCTATCCACACCTCTTCTGTCAAAGTACTTATATCCAGACAGATTTCTTGAAAATTAGAAAAAAAATCTCAATAGAAACATTGGCCAGGGATTTGAATAAAAATTTGCAAGGCAATATACACATGGCCAATAAGCATATAAGATGATAGGCAGCTTGCCTACCATGTCAGTAGGAATAAATTGAGGAATAACTAATCAGACTACTGCATGGTACAACTGTATACCACCAGAATGACTTACATGAAAAAGTCGTAATAAGTGTTGGTCAAGAAATGGAGCAACTGTGGTTAGATTTGGTCGCATCTGCTAAAGCTAAATATACTCAATGACTAAATGATTTTATTCTTATGTACATACCAAATAGAAATACATATGTACATACATATACATACATATATATGTGTGATATATCAAAAGACATGTAAAAGAATATTTGTAGCAGTTGTATTCATATTAATTCAAGCTGAAAACTTTCCAAAAGTCCACTACCAGTCAATCAGATAATCTAATATGACAGTGAAAATTAGTGAGCTACAGCTGCAACATAACCACACAGATTAATTGTATAACTACATTAGTTAGCTGTTGCCGTGTATCAAATTACCACAAATTTTAGGATTTTTAAAACAGCATGTGTTTATAGTTTTAATCTCTGTGGTCATTTTCTGTGGACATAGCTTAGTTATGTCCTCTCGTTCATTCTCTCACAAGACTGCAGGCAGGGTGTTGGTGGTGACTAGGTTCTCATCTGAAGGGACAGCTTAAGAAGGATCTCCAGGTATGGTTGTTGGCAGAACACTAATGCTGTAGTTGTTAGACTGCTGGTCTCAGTTGTTAGCTGAGCCAGCCCTTGCCGCATCGGCTGCTCCAACATAATTGCTTACTTCATCAAAGTAAGCAAACTGAAAGAGCAGTAGCTGAAGTTAGTCTTATATGCTCTAATCCCAGAAGTGGCATCCTATTACTTATATTATCTTCTCATGGTTAAAGCAAATCATAGGTCTTGCCCATGCGTAAGGGAAAGAGCTTACATACATTGTGAATACCAAGAGTTGGGGATCAACTTAGAGATGCCTCATCATAATAATGGTTAGCAAAATAAAGTTCCAAAAGAGGCATAACTCCTAGAAACCAAAAAATGGTTATTCTCCAGGTGGTTAGTGATTAGAAGAAACCCAAAGGAGCTTTTGGGATTGTAGTAATGTTCTATTTCTAATCTGCAAAATCATCAAACTGTAAACTCCTGATTTGGGTCCTTTTCACAGGTGCAGGTTTACTTTTGGCTAAAATTTTATTTTAAAGGCATAAAATCACAAGGACAAAGAGCAGGAGAAGATACAATAACAATTAAGAGACCTCAATAAGTTTGAGAAGTAGCTAAATGATAAACAGATGAAATCCAACTTAGATAAATCTAAGCCTGGTAATTGTAGAGAATAGAAACTGAGGGACTAAAAAGTGTAAGCCTCTTCATATTGCAGAAGCCTTGGAAGCCTTAGGAATTGGGGGTGCCAGATATTTGTCAAGATAGGAATGCAAGATAGCACTGAGAATATGAAAATTGATTATATTCATACCCATCTATATTTTCCCAAATTCACCTCACCTGTGCTGACATGATTATGGAGGGACCAGGCCAAAAAGACTTAATTTAGGAACTTAGGCTGGATTAAATTAAACTTCAAAAAGGGAGGTTAATCAGAAGTATACACTCAAGGGTGAAATATGTGATCTCCCTTTCTTTTTCAGCTTCCAGAATGCTCTTGGCCAAGTATAAATGTCTAAGTTGAGAAACTAAGAGGATAATTCTCCAGAACAACCAAAGAGAGCAGGCTCACAAAAAATAGCATTTTGTAGGTCCCCTGGTTAACTTGCCAGGAATTTGCCTAATAATACTACATAGAAGCCCATCAGTTAATAAATTTTACCCATATACACACAGCCTATAAATAGCATTCCAGTACTTCCCTCTTAAATGTAAAACCAAGGATTATCAGGTATTTAAGGAAAGAACAAAACAGGTAAACTGAAAAAAATAGGAAATGAAGATAATGTGATTAGCAAAAAGAATTACAAAATGATAGTATTGTAAGAAGAAGATACTGTGTTCATAAAACATTAACAGGGAATTGAAAAGAAACGGAAAACAAGAAGTATTCTTAGAAATTATTAACCATGTTAAAGTATAAAGAATGTTCGGAAGATTGAGGAAATCTTCCTCCAAAAAAGTAGAATGAAAATTGGGAGAGAAAACTAGAGAATTGATCTAGGAGGTCCAGCATAGAATCCAGCTAGAACAACAGAGTAAATAAAAGTGAGAAGATTGCCAAATCAAAATCTCCCAGAAGTACTGGAGTTTTTAGATTAGATAGGTCTACTGAGTACCTAGACAAGAGACTGGAAATAGACAACATTATGAAATTTCAGAGTATCAAAGTTAAGAAAGGATTAGAAGTCTTCAGCAAGGGGGAGGAAAGAGCACGTACAAAGGCTTGGTCTTTACTGAAAACTAGAAGATAATAGAGCAGTGCCTTTCAAGGTCTGGAGGGAAAAATCGTGTTTTATAACCAAACAATGAGACGTAAGATCAAAAACATATATAAACACAGTTTCTCCAAACTATATATATCCAATGTGGTCTTCCTTACGAAACCTCTTACTGGAGATTATCTTCCATCAAAATAAAGTGATTGCCCAAGAAAGGAAGACATGAGACCCATGAGGCAGGTGCAGGACATACTGGAAGCAAAGGGAGGGGAATTTCAGGGCAGTGGTAGCCCAGCTCTAGAAAGGATCCCAGGAAGATTTGAAGAGGAGGATGCAGAGTTCAGGAAGGGTACTGCCAAGAAAACAATGTAAATAGATGGTCCACTGTAAACTTTTTAAAATTATATTGCATGTTTAAGTGTATCCAGAAGAATTAGTGGTTCTATATTCTAAATTATTGGTTCTTTATTCTAAATTAGTGGTTCTAATTCTAAATTAGAAATAAGTATAGAAAACTGACTACGCAGTCACAACAAGAATAAGGTGGATATTCTATCCAGAGAAAACAAATTGTACAAGAAGAAATATAACACAGTTATACTTAGTTATCAAAACATATATAATTGAATAATTACTATAAACACTAAATATTAACATAGTCAAAATTGTTCATATAATATTGAAAATACAGAAAGTAGTAGTAAATAACTGTAGAAACATATCCCTTGAAGTTTGGACATCTGCTGGTTATATATGAGAACCATTAGGAGGATTTGTTGACACACAGGTTCCTGGACCTCACCCTCAGTCTGTGATTTGGTGTTTGGGGTTGGACCGAAGAATTTGCATTTATAACAAATTCCAGAGAATACACTTTGAGAACCAGGGACAGAGAAAAGTGAAGAAAAAGACCAAGGCATATAAATGAAAGTGTCTCTATATAGGAGAAATGGGAGAGGTCCTACAAGTGACTACTATTTCATATGTAAATCCTACTAGTACTTATTTCATGTTATAAATGATGCCATTTATAGCATATATTTTGATACTTTAAAAATTTTATGAAATCAAAATAGATATGTCCTAGCATCAATTATACACACTTTTCGCCTACTTCAGAGACCCTTGGGCTCTCATTCAAGGTTGATAAACTTTTATATTTTATTTGGCTCTAACAAAGCAAATAACTGCTGGGAACATAAAGAAGCACTTTCCTTGTAATTTCTTAAGTATGCTACTGTCATGCTCAGCATAGTTCTACCCCTAAGACCCACATTCAATGAAACAGTCACCTATTTCAGCAACCCAATATTTGGTGATCTACTTATTAAAGGATCTAAAGGAAGTTGGTATCTTTAGAATTCATCTCAAGTTGTATCAGTAATCAGTATCAATCATCTAGAAAATTCCTCCATGCTAAATTGTCATTTAAGCCTAGAACCTATTCTCTACATGTTTTATGTGACTCTTGTTGAGTAATGTATGCTGTTCCCATCCCAAATGTTTGTTTGAACAACCTATTCTTTCTTCCTTTCAGCTCTGCTCCAGTTTTGGCTGAAGAAGCCATCTTGAAGCAGAAGTGTTTACTGACAACTGAGCTCTAAGGGATTGTGTTCTTCCCATCTTTGACTGGAATGCCTCACTTTCTCCAGCGTCTACCTGGGAATCAGTTTCCACTGGAATGTGTTGGATTCAGAAACTAATTTGTCCTCTACTTGTGGGTAAAAGAACTCACTTAGATTTGACTTAAATGCCGTGAAAAGGCAGCTACATTTTCTGTCCAACTGGAAGAATTTCCATTATACTGCATATTTGCCCAAATGCAGATATTTGGTTTTTCATGTTCAATAGTTTTATTTAAGTTGTAAATTTCTAAGACAGCAATTAACCTTCCCTGTCTTGTAGTCTTTCAAACTCTTGGCTCCACCTAGTGGCTGTATGGTTAGTTCAAGTGCCTCATGATTAGTTCATCTCTGTTAACAGCCTTTTGAATATTATTTCTCTGTAGCATAAGGATGAGTGTCCTTGATATGACTGCCTACTAGAAATATTGTACTTTTTCATGCATTGATTGGAAATCATGAATTTAGGAAATTAGCAAGGGAGTACTTAAGGGCTAGGTAGCTTTTTACAATTATTACAGTGCTAAAAGGAAGTTTAGAATACAGTATTTTCAAGGGTCTCCCATACTTTTGACTTCTTTTTTTAAAAGATTTATTTATTTATACACACAGAACTGGAGTACAGGTTAGAGGTGTGGGGGGTAAGAGGATTCACCAGAGACAATGTGGGGAACAAAACAGGAAGACGGACTGAAATACACTGCTGAGGAGAGCAGCAGGCCGGTCAGGAGAGGTCTGCCTTGCCATGTGGATCACTCCCTGACCAGGAATCGAACTCATGCCGTAGTGGCTGGGAGGACCCACTTTTGACTGCTTACTGGACTGTTTTAATACTCAAGTTTACATCAAGGTAAGAATAGCCTTGGAACACAATAAAAATAAAACAGATAAACCTTGAGAAGAACCCCAGAGACATCAATGGACCGTCATTTTTTTTTTCAACTCTGTCTTCTCACACTGTAACTTTTCAGCCTTTAAGGAACAGGAGTTGTTAAAGACACACTGGACACTGTAGGCACCCACGTTTCTTCCTGAGCCAGATGGAGGAGTGCCAGCCTTTGTAGGCTCTGGGCTTTGCTATTCCACATGGATACCTACTTAACCATAGGCTCTATTTCCTTTCACGTAAACTGAATCAATTTGGAACTTGTAAACTTCGAAGATAAAAATCCAAACAAAGATACCAACAAATACTGGGAATCAGGAGAGGGAAATTTTGTTTCTGACATCTGCCACACCAGAACTCACATCTGCCATTACAATAGAAATGTTGTGTTCTCTAGAATTTCTTCATCCCTTTTGATCTGTACCCAAAAAATCTAGATGTTAAAGTATAAATATATGCTTGTTATAGTAGAAATATAGGAAGGTATAAAAATAACTACCTATAATCCCAACATCTGGAAAATTACTGTGTTAGCCTTAAAACTTTAGAATGCCCGAGGTAGTGCATTCTAAGGATCTAGAAACCATGTCATTATTAATCCATTATCAAGTTTTTAATATTGTTATTCTTCCTGGAATTGTTTTTTACATTTCTGCCCTGTGATACATATATAATTGATTTAAGTTATGCTGCTCAACAGAAGAACATCCCGTTTCATGATCTTTAAAACTCCATAGTTAGCGCTTTCTGGGCTCCCTGTAGCGTGATCATGTGTGCAGGCAAACACACACTAGTGCCTGACTGGGAAGCTTGAGAACTGTAATCTTGTGCTGTTTCACAGGTAGCTGTAAAGACTGGGAACCACTTTTGCACAAAACTGTTTTCCTGAAGCTCTTTTTGCTGACTGCCTCCCCTTCACCATTATGCTAAGCCTGTGGATTTTGTTGGAAGAAATTCTTGCCAGTTCTTAATGGTAAAACAAATTTTCTTGCAGCTTTTAAGTGACACCTAAAACCAAGGGCTTGGCCCAAGACATGTTAACTGGACAGCAAATTTTCAGTGCACTGGTAACCTGAGATGTACTGCAAGGTTAAAGTGCTTCTAACCACAGAGCTACCTGGAAAACCTAAATTCCCCATCCAGTTTAGAAGGTAACATCACCCTCATTTGAAATTTTCTACAATTCAGGTATAAGAAGTTAAAAATATTCTGTAGCCTTGGTGTTTTCAGGTACCTGTATTCTTGTCAGTCAGAATACTGCTAGGGACTTCCTTAAAATTCATTTGAATCTGAAGTTAAAGGGAAATTTGTCTCGTGTCCTGATGTGAAGTATAAACATAGAAATCATTGTTTAATGATGAATTGGTCCTGTCAGATCAGATACCTGTCAGCTATAAACGTCCTGTCACATCTGCTGCCGGTGTCATGCTCACAGCTGCTGTGACACTTGCTTTGTTCTGCTCATCTGAGAATGGAGGGGAGATCAGGATAGGCTGAGGAGAGCCTTGAATGTGTCCATTGGGAAGCGTCTGTGAGGAGAGAAGCAAGTGTGAATCCGTGGAAGCTGCCAGTAGGGATCTGAGGTGATTCTGTATAAGAAGGCACACTAGCTACGCGGAAGTAGGAGAGGCAGCTGTGGTGGTGCTCCCACCTCGTGACCTTCAGGGCAGAGTACTGGGTTACAAAAGATTAAGAGCCACCTGCATATCTGAATCATCTAGTAAATGAAGGAAAACTGATCTTCAGATGAGATAAAATAGCCCTACTGGCTGTTCAAAATCACAGCTAGTTGGGCAGGAAGTTTTTTTTCTGTATCAAGATGAGGTTCCCAGGCAATAGTACAATATAGCTTGAAGAAATATTGGCAACGTTTAATTAAGTCAGGAGTAATGAGATGTATGAAAGAGAGCAAGAACAATAGTTTATTTGAGCACTCCAGCTAGAAAGCTGTTACCATGCTTTCCTTGGAAGGCAGCTTGAAGTTGATTTATAGCTGAGATAACAGACCGGATCAACAAAAATAACAAAAGTCTGCTTTAGCCATAGGCTAAACAACTCTGTTCCTTTCTTTCCAGATTTTATTCTGGTAACTCATTAGGAACACCGATGACAGAACTTGTCACTAAGAGCAGGTGTTAGGTGGGCACTTAGAGGGGTTTCTTTGGTCTGCTTGCTATTGCCTCCTTAGACTGAGGAGCACTAGCTCTCAAAAACTGCTTTCTGCCTGCTGTGTGCACGGCTCTGGGCACTCCCAGCGCAGAGCTCTGCTGGGAGTATCGACTGCCAGCCTTGGGAGAGCAGAGAGAAATCTCACATGGGCCCATGTCGCAGCCTTGCACAGAATGGGAGAATTGGCATGATGGTTTAAAATACAATGTGTAGGTTTCAGTTCACTGCCCCAGATTCTTCCTCAGAACTTGTAAAAAACTAAGTGAGATCTTATTTATCAGTGGTATTATCTCTGCACGCACAGGAAAGGCCCATTGTTCTTTCATTCTCATCCTTCAGGAAACGCTGATGAATAAAGAAATGATTAGGCATACCCAGAAGCTTTCATAACACTTGTAGGTTAAGAAAAATTCTTCTGTTTAATATCTTTTATTAAAGATATTAAAATTTTATTTTATTGTCTGCTAACTTTTATTTGCTTTTATACAATCAGATGTTTTGTGGACAATTTACATTGCATGCCCTCACTCATTGCATTCATGACTGGTTCTCCAGGGCTTCTCATCTAGCTAGAATTGGTTCTTGTGTCTCCTCTGAGGTGAGCTTCAGGTGAAATCTCAGATGTCACATGTTAGAGCAGAACTATGTGGCAGCCACTTACATTGAGAAAATCTTGCGTATTTTCTAAAGTATGGGTTTTGAAAGCAAATTTCAGATTTAGGTCAGGAGGCTGAAAACCTTTCAGGCAGACAGCAGAAAGAGTACTTTGCTACTCTGTTGTTGTGGTGAACTAGCAGCATAGACAAAGTGAATGTAGGATCAAGGCTGTATTCCAATAATTTATTTTCAAAAACATATGCTGGCTCCCAGTTTCAAGCTGTGTAGAGGATTAGAGGTGCTTGCCCTGGGAGGAGCAGGTATTCAAGGTTCTTCAGTGTCCTCTCACTCCAAGGCACCTTGCTCACACCCGGACATAATGCAGCTGTGAGTCTCCCAGCTACCAGGCTCTGTGTGCCTCACTAGTTTGTGATTAATCTTGTCCTTGGCCTTTTAGTTGCTTAGAAACATGGCATCTTGCAAAGTGAAGAGTGTACATTGCTCTCTTTTTCCTGTGAAAATTTTAAGCACTCTAGGTCTTGATGAGCAGAAGAAAGTTGGATGCTTTTCCTTTTAGCACACAAGGTGAGGAAATTTGTTTGGTCTACAGATACTGCCCTAAACCTAACTGCTGTATTAATGTATTGGTAGAACTGAGATTGTTTTCCAGTTCTAAGAGATAGGATTGTAAGTCTCTTCATCACCTCGCTTGAGACAATGATTCTGTCACTTCTCAGGATTTCTCTTCATCAGAGAGGTTTTAGCACAGCTCCCTTTTTCTTTTTTCTCTTCATATCTGGAACTGATAGAGGACTTCACTTTTTTGTGTTTACTTTTTATATGTGTAAAGAAAGCTTTGCTGTAGGTTTTAAAGTGTAATTTATTTTTCTACTGAGTGCACTATTCATTCACTGTGTTCTACAGTTTTATATGACTTATATTAGAAACACTGCACTAAACTGAGTTGTTTGTACACTGAAATGACAACTGTAGATATGACCACAAATAAAGCTTTTGTGAAACACATTTTTATGAACTGTTTGTTTCTTCTAGGTGCAGTACCTTTTATGTTGTCCTTCTCACCTCAAAAGAATTTTAATCCAGAGTCGCTACCTGAGCCAGTGAATGAAAGTGGCAAACAGCACCAGGTTCCCCCCTCCCCCCCCCATGTTCATTTACTATATATGGTATAAATTTTGTAGTAGAATATTGTCAAAGTTTAAAAACCTCATCGGTCATGCTCAGGCTGTCTTGAGATGCACAAGTCATCAGTAGCAGTCCTGTACAGAGGAAACACCACTCTCTTACTAAATATTGTGAGACCTTGAAAAAGCACGTAACAAAGCTGTACCTCACTTTGTCAGCAATGATGCCTTCAGCCTGTGGTGCAGTGCCTGGTAGAAGGCGTAGCACTGTCCATCTCTTTCTCTCTGTCCCTACTTCTTCAGGTTTGTATCTCATCATCCCAGTGAAGAGCATCGTTGCTGAGTTGTTTTCAGAACTGGAGAATTGTACAGCCCTATGGGATTATAAGCAAGGCCTTTGAGGAAATTCCCCTCTCCTGTCTCTAAGGCAATGTAGGTCTTAGAAGCCAAGGAGCAGTTCTCCGGCTCTTCGCAGATGTGTAGGGAAAGGCAGGGCTCTGGGCTCAGCACCTGTGCTAGAATCTCTCCTAGAAAGGTTTTTGGCAATAAGCAACTGAAGTCATTCTAAACCAAAATAGAAAGACTCATGGAAAAGATACAGGGATCAGGCTGAACCAGTGGGAAGATGGGCAGAGTGTAGGGGAGGAAGCATGGACTCCATTTGACAGAGCGACCTGGCTTTTTCCCACTCCTCACATTTCAGGCAGAGAGCTCTGATCACTCTTGAATTATAAGCCCACAGCTTGGCCTCAGAGATCAGGGCACCTAACAAAGGGGAGGGGCAAGATTCTGGGCCACCAAAGCAACAGCACAACATGCCAGACTGAAAGGACTTTC